CAAAATAAAAAAATAAATATGCTCTCACAAAAAACAAAACCGAAATGACACCACCAAAACATGGCGCCACTGCACCATACACCAAAACAAAGCTAAAACAGCCCAAAAACAAAACAAAAAAAAAAAAAAAAAAAAAAAAAAAAGCACTAACAACTACCCTGTACACATACAGAAACGAGCACCAGAAACCTTTTCGAAAACGTGCCTCACGCTGCACGGGCGTAATGCTAAAAGACAAAGCATTCGCACCTGCTGCACAACCTCAGCAATGCCGCCGAAACTCTCCGCACCACCATACCTACACTCGATGACAAATCACTGAGCACTACAAAACATGCAAGCCACCTACATGCCCGCATGCTGACAGACACAACATACACCACTGCGCACTACCAAACGAGCAACACAAGCCTCACACCCAGGTGTTGCCACATACGACGTCTCTCCCACACAACACACCAAATGCCCTTTACTCCCACACCATAGCCGCGTACTGCAATACCCGTCTATCCCACAAAAAATTAACCACCCATACAAACATCCCCCCTACACATGAGTCCACGTTCATCATTCCTATCCCCCCATAACCCCATGCCTAACCACTCACCCCTCGCTGTCCCATGGGGATCCTTGGAGCTGGTTACATGCCAGCTTGATCCCACGCATGGAGTCATGCAGAAACTACCACCTCTGCCCCAGCATCCACATCCATATATCACATCAACCGACACATACCCTCCCTCTTGCTACTCTCTACAATCCCTCCTGTCTCTGAAGCAGTGCATTTGCGTGGTTCACTATCCACCTTAGACTGCTGATCGGTGTTGACAATTGCGCTGCACATAGGATCGCCATAGCTGGTGCTCCCTGCACCACCTACGGTGAACGGTGTGCCTGTAGTCGATAGCAAGAATTCACCCGGTGGTGCATTGTCTCTACGGAAATTCTACCCTGCGACTACCAGCGGCAATTCCAAAGTCTTGTACGATGGCGCAGATCAGGGAGAACCTCCCCGACGCTGACATCATGGAACACATGGTAAGTTTTTTGCTCCTGAGCTAAAACTTTAGCCCGTTCCCGCATGACCTCTTCCCTCACCACCCTTTTGGGAGCCAGAGGATATTCACCCTCTTATGAGCCGTGACTGGCGCAAGCGGCGAAAAGCGCTTTAGGGGATGCGCCCCCCTCCTCCACCAGCATTTATGCTGGCGTTGATGGCATTGACCATCTTGCTCCCTTCCTCCTTCTTTCCTACCCCCCCTTCTACCCCATTGCGCAATAAGGTGCTTATTGTTGTTGCCACAGGTGCGTACATGGATTACTGACCCCGACTTCTGCGACAAGGTATGTGCTCCGATTGCTCACAGACTCTATGGTTTATCTATGGCTGTTGGAGATTCCCATATATGGGTTGCTATGGTTGCATTTTGCACTTCGACACACGCATACTATCGGACACTGTCCTGTCGCAATGCAGGGGTTAAGCCCACCTGCTGATCTCCACCCACTTGCCTAAGATACATACCTTCTCTCTGTGACGTGATCGGAGACATACAGTTCGTTAATGGTGGTCTCCTCTTCCTGTAAGCCATACTGGCTCATGATTGCATATGCGTACAATATCACCTGCCCTCCCACCAACCCCCTCCACCTCCATACATACTCAATCCACGCATATGCCCGCCCGCCTGCCCCCTCCATCCACCTAACTATATGAGCCACTTATGCAGCCCACTCCCATGTAAGTAACCAATCCCGCATAATCCCACCTCCCAACCAAACCTACCTATCATTCCAAATAACCTTAAATACGCCCATCCACCTCATCCTCGCGCCCTACCCCTCTAATGTAAAGCCACTCCACAACTGACTATGCTCGAAAACGCCATGCCACAATATCTACACGACCAATACGAACAAATCCCGAATCATCACAACCATGACCACGATAGTTATGGATAAACCGATGGAACCCTTTCGTATAAACTCATAGAATATCTGCACACACATGAAAAACCAAATGATAAACTCGCAACCCCCGAAACACTAAACCCAAACTCCACCGTAGTTTTGGCTGACATAAACATTCAAAGATAAATTTAATTAGGCACTTTACTTTTTATCTTTCTTCCTTACGAACTCGCTAATACATGCTGCCCTTATTATATCTCTGTTATTTAAGCACATCACCTCAGCTTCCCACAGTAAGTCGACTGCGCTCTTTGATCAAGGCATGCTTGATATAATCTATTATTCCTTTTTGCCGATACACTGCACGCAACAAATCGATCATGCCGCAACTAGCCTAAATCCTTACCCTATCATCGCACGTCTATCTCAAATCCTGTTGTCACCATCCCTTCATCTGCTCTATCCTGGAACGTAGTTATAGCAACGCTGTATGTAGGAGTGATCATCATTTTATCGCCCATTGCAAATCGATGCCTGCTTACATCATGGTTGGGAACGACCCTTCACTGGCCCATCCGGATCCTGATCCTGTCATCACTTTGAATGGGTAGCCTGGTATATTCTATCACTTTGATTATGCCGGTAAGTGCCGGTCAGTATGACTCGTACTATCTGATACTCTCACTCTGATCCGCATATGAAGGAATGTATTCTTCCTTGACCTTCTTCGCAATCAAGAGTACTCTGACTTAAAATCCCTGTTCCTTTATTCAGCACGTTCTACCCACACCCCCTCTCTCCTTCCTTCCACCCCTTCCCCCACCAATATCCTGCTCAAACTTAAACCCCCCTGAAGTGCGTGATGCCTAGACGCTATAATCCCTCTTCCTACATCCAAATCTTCACGCCCCACGGGATGGGTGTCAGGCTCCCAGTTGCTAGAATTTATATACATGTCCATATCCGGTATCCTGAAACTCCCATATATATCTCCCTACTTCGTATGCCCATAAATTCCCCTGTGCACCCACCAAAATACCAACCTCGATCCAATTACCACTATATGAGATCGGGCAACCTACGAATTTAACATACACATAACTTCATCTTCTTAAATGCTTCCAAAACAACCCCCATGCTTATGATTAGACTTTTTTTCCGAGCACATGCAATCCCCTGGTATTGAATACCCCCATTCTGTAATTACTATGCCTCTGACCTCACAACCGCGTCACATACTATACCCATTATACAAAGATTTAACCAGCCATGCTGACTATCTGACCTTGTTTCCTCTCTGTATAGATATATACATATATACAAATGTACATACTACTATATGCACATATATATATATACGATCTTTTAGGTTCCCGCCTGACCACCTCCTGTGCAGACAAAAAACCATTGACCTTTAGCCATGAACTCCTTTCCCGCTTCCCCAACCCGACCTATATTGAAGTACTATACTAAACAGAAATATATATATACATATATTTACATATATATATAGACATAGGTTCTCTCTTTATATATATATAAGGGCATGGAACCTACATATCGGACTCACCATCTTAATAAACGCTCTCCCCGGCTCTTCGTTTCCTATCTTCAGCTTTGCAAAAACAAGAACGCTAATTCAGACATCTTGCTAACGACACTTTATTCTCGACTATGTCCCGGTCAATCTGCTTGCACTGAACGCTCTGTTTTTCATGTCATTTGCAACACTCTTACTTTACTCATCTCTCCAATTTTCATTTCTTCGAAGCAAGGGGCTTCGGTTCTGTGGTGGTATCATAGAAAATTTCAGCCTACAATTTGGTCTGTAGCCACTCCAGACGCCAACCTATGAGAACTATTACTGTCTCCCACCCTGCACCCACATACATAACCCTATAGGTAAGCAGTTCGAAACAAAGGGATGCTCTTTGTTAAAAGAAAAACTCACTCTCTCCTTCATACCTTTCCACTCTCCAATATTTATGTATATATATATATATATATATATATATATTTACACACACACACACACACATATATATATATATATACATATGTATATATATATATATATATATATATATATATATACATAGATATTGTTACAACCCCTCGTTTGTTGTCCTCTTCCCTTTCTCTGCCTACGGTTTACCGGACAGTTCTGTTGTGACGATATATATCTATAAAGTTGCATATCATCCTTTAGAAGTCCAATGCAACATTTCTCTCGCTAATCATGTTTTGTGATAACAGAAGTTGCTGCTAACATATGCACAGGGTATATTGCGAATCCTGGGTTAAAAAAATATATTCGACACTGTGCAATTTCTTCAATTTTTTACCAAGCTATTGCGCACATACACACGCACTAAGATCGAATTTGTGAAAATCCTAGGAAAGGTTAGCCCCCCTTCTCATGAATTTTTTCTGCACTAGCTCTCTCCTCATCTCTCTCTCGCGCTCTCTCTCTTTCTCTCGCCGCACTTTCGCGCTCCAACGCTCCTTGTCACCATACTCCCCTATCCCTACCAATCCCTCACCCCCTCCCCCYCCCCCCCTCTCTCATTCTTTAGAATTTTCCCCCTTCCCCTTCGGTCTTACTACCCCATCTCTTTTACCTCGATTGTCCCCCCTCGTCCCGCTCACACCAAGATCAAATATGAGCATATTCATGGCCAAGACAGCCTCCTTGTTATAAGATTGCTCCGTATCATGAAAATACTCTATCTATGACAGTCTTACTCTTCTTCTCTCCTTTTTTAGCACTGCGTCCCCACACACCTGTCTCTTATACACATCTAGATGTGTATAAGAGACTGGTCCACCTCTGCGATTGCAACTGATTAGCTT